ATATTAATAATAGTTGATAACTTTATTGTAACTGAGCTTTGTAATTAATAATAATAAAAAAAATCAATCTAGTTTGGCTATGGTGTTAATAATAATATATAAATTAAAAAAATCTTTATTTAAAATTTATAATAAAGTATCAAACTATTTTCAAGATCAATTTATAAAATTTTGATATCAATAACAAGTTTATTAGAAGTTTAGCTTTAGCATGTACTAATTCTGTTTAAACAAATATAGTATGTACTTATGTATTTAATTGATCTCAATCTAACCTGGATACAAATTATGTGCAAAAATAATAATAATAATAATCATTAATAGAAATCATATTGTAAAAATCATACAATATCATTAATAATAATTGTCATATTTATCTCATTCTAGATTTTATTATTGAGTGTACTATTGATGATTTTTCAACAATAAATCGGGGAGGCATCGATGATAAGGTAAGAAAAGAATCTATCATTTATCGGATTTGGGCCTTAAACTCTTATTGTTGAAAATGACTAGTTAGTCATTCAGAGTTAAGTGAAAAATCAATTACGAATCACAGTTTTCAATTCAATGATGTTTCGGACCACAGTATATACAATCATGATTTTCGGAACATACAGTAGTATATTGATTATAAAAACGCTAACGTTAATAATATGGATTATTATTCAACCGCAGTTTTTATTTTTCATGCTAGGGATATTTTGTGCACATATTCGGTCTAAAAAAAAACAAATAACTTTAGCTCAATTTCTTAACCATAAAGAATTCATTAGTCGCGCGCATTAATTAAATGCATGATTGGATTATTCGTAAAGCATGATTCCAACTTCGACCATATGATATGGTTAATAAATAATACACAAATAATTTTTTACCTAGACACATGACAAAGACAAAATAGGAATTTGCTTAGTTTGTGGAAAGGTTGAATTTATGGCATTTATGGTATGACGATAAGAGGACCGACCATTGCAATCGTGAATGTACGACGATAAGTGATAAAGTGTGAATTCGAGTGAGTCCAGTGCATGAATTCACAAGCAGCTCTGTGTCGCGAAGTCCAATAATATGTTAGATCTATCGTACAAAAGAATATTTATCGCATGAAAAAAATTCTTAAAACTTGAATTTAATATTGCCAGAAATTACGTAATGCAACCTTCAATACGCATACATGTTGACGGTTGCGCAAGAAACGCATATTTGGGTTTATACGATTTCAAAGTTTGTGTCCAATAGACGGAATTAAAGAATCACCACAAACGCAGGATCTAAACCCGTTTTATCACTTCGTAATTGTTCTCGTGGATCATCACCCAGTCTGACGAAAATAAGATTGTTATTGTGCTCTTAAACAATTAAGCGTAGCATATGAAAAATTTATTATTACCCTATTAAATCTTGTCAACTTTCAAGTTAATGATTTCTTGAACCAGAAAACTTGTAGTTAGTATGAATATAACAGACATTACTGATCAGGATAATTAACGATATTTACTATAAATAAACCATAGGACGATGTTACGACGAACCAATAATAATGCAGGGTCATCGATAAATAAGAAAGAACGCCTTTAAGAAATATACCGTATCCTTTCCCCGATCACATGAGAAATTTTTCTTTTTCTTTTTTTTTTTTTTTTGAATTTTGGAGACTCAATTTACGTATGGTAAGATCATCTTCTATAAATGACATTGTTTTTCGAGAGTGTTTGGTTTGAGAATTGTTTGTTTCGAAAGATCATCACAACAGACATAAAGGTTTAATGAAAAGAGTAGCTTTTTACGCATTACCATCATTACAATCTTTGAGCATCAAGTGATTGGTTCAAAACAGAATCTAGCTAAATCATTGGTACGTACGTACCTTTATTACTATTTATGCATTTGTAATTCAGAAGATCATAAGAATTGTTGGATTGACATTCAATGCGTGTGAATTGCTTTTCTGTGGATTTTCCTCGCCTTAACAATGTATGCAGTTTATTAAGGCAGAGTTCATAAAAAAATTAAGTCAACAAAAAATGTAATTTTGGGCATAATAAATAGAGGAGACCCTTTAGAAGATCGGTGTCACGAGCTTAGGGCAAGATGTAAAATTAATATTAATTCATTATTATTGTCATATTAAAAAAAAAAAATTTTTTTTTTTTTTTTTCTTTTCGAAATTCTGCATGAAATAGTTACAAGTCCGGTTAAATTTTTTCTGATAATTTCTTTCTTTGACACTTTCGACTATTTACATCGACAAACTTGTTATTGTCGTCAGCTGTCATAAGTTTTTTTTTTTCTCTTAGACGTTGTGTAATAAATAATAGTCTATGCACATTAAAAACTCAACCCACCACTCCTAAATTTTTTCGATCTCCACTATATATAGCCCAGCCACCCGTATATACATATACCTAAATACTAGAAGTGAAAATTCTTCCCATTTCAAGACTTGACAAGATCATATGTGGAGAGCACTGCATACTGGAAAATAAACTAAACGTAGCGCCCAAATTTCAATATTAACATCGCCACTCTTTTTTCTCTCTGTAACAAAAATTTTTTCTTTCTGTTAGCTCTCGTCTCACAATTTACACACTCCTCTCGACCCTTCATTTCAACTCCGTCTTCTAATTATCTGTTGTGACTTGATATTTAGTCTTTTTCTCCTGCCATTTTCTTCCAGTCGAGAGGTTATTTTTATTTCACCGGTTTTTTTTTTTTTTTTTTTTCTTAAAAAAAAAAAAAAAAAAACACTACCTTCTAAACACGCGTTCTTTTGTCTGGCGAAAAACTTTTGTACGAAAGAGTCTTAAAGTTGTCCTGTGGAATTCTAAGAAAAAGAAAAAAAAGTTGACTTATCAATTCAAATAACAAAGCCCAAATTCTTGCAAACGAAAACGACACTACTAAAGTTTCAGAGGAAAAAATTTCAAGCAGGCGAATATCCTCTAGCATTTGATTTGAAAGTAAATTAATTAATACTCGGTAGGTAGAGGTAGCGAAGAGACAAATCTCATTGTTCACATGAGCGGCACATCACTCACTTCTCTCTATATTATTCAATTAAGTTCACAATTGACGACACTGAAGAAGCCCGGTAGCGATGTTTGCCCCGAGATCTTCAAGGCCCGCCACCGTTGCAGCTTATCCGCAAAAAAATGGTCTAAGACGTAAGAAGAAAGGCGAAAGTGCGGCACCTGCTGTTAGTATTCTTCAGTATTGAATTCTTTCACTAATCGCAAAGATGGATCGAGAAAAAAAGATGGGTTACACGTATTATCCGGAAATGTTAAAAGAAGAAAAAAAAAAATTCTAGATGCGAGCGTCAAATGACTTAAAGACAATTCACCGGGAGATAGTTATATATGATGATAATGTTACGATCAATTGATCAATTGATCACACATAAACCTCTCTACAAGTTGGGTGGCTTATATGATCCTTCTTATTTAATTCGTAGATCGAACTCGAACGTATTCTCGGTTTTACCACTTCGAAACCAACTGCGTTGGCCACCGCCCCTGCACGAGATCTTATAGCCTATGCAGCTGGTTCGGTGGTTGTGCTCTACAATCACAAGAAGAACAAGCAAGTGGGATTTTTACACGCGTCATCCAGTACAACTCCTGCACCACAAAATCCTGCAAATACATCCGCATACCCTAATCGACACACAATTGCCGGTGATGCGATGATAAATCCTTTAGGAGCACTGGGTATATTGGATCCACAAAACGCTAATTCCGGGAGTGCCGCTGGTAATTCAAAAAAAACTCCCGTTAGCAATAAGGCCAAACCAATATCGTGTATTGCTTTTTCTCCCGATGGCAATTATTTGGCTGTTGGTGAGGTAATGTGTGGAGAATGGAAAAAGGAGGAGAGATGTGATTAGTAACGCACACGATCCTAAAAATTTGTTTATACTTATATGTAACATAAAGATCGGTCATCAACCTCGTATTCTGATATGGGATGTGGAGGCCAAAACTCTGATCGCCGAACTCAAAGGTCATAAACACGGCGTTTTAGCTCTTAGATTTTCTCCCAATATGAAGTGGATCGTCTCCTTAGGTTTTCAAGTGAGTTTTGATGACCGCAAGTGATTTAAGAAAACCACCCTCCAAATCTAACTCCCATCGAACTTGGCTTATTTAGCATGATGGTTACTTAAACGTATGGAATTGGAAAAATGGTACAAAAGTTGCGTGCAACAAAATCACGACGAAAGTTTACACATTGGCGTTTAATCGGAACGGTTCTTATTTTGTGACGGCTGGACTGAGACACGTGAAATTTTGGTATTTCGACGCGAGCGGAAATTTACCAAAAAAGTCCGGTGTGAGTAAACCTTTTGAATATTTGTTCATCGTTGCTCTTTTAAATCCAACAAACCTTTATTCTCTCGTTATAGGGTCAATCAATAACAAAAACAGCACAAGTGTTGGATGGTCGATCCGGGATTCTGGGAGATTTGAAAGATAATAATTTCCTGGACGCTGCGTGTTGTCAAAAAACGGATAACACGTATTTAGTGACATCTAACGGATTGTTGTGCATGTTCACGGAAGGGAGATTGATGGATAAATGGGTTAATTTGCAGGTGTGTGTTGGTGTTTTTTTTTTTTTTTTTTTTTGCTTGCTTGTTACGGGCCATTTTTAACAATGAATTCGTGCTTACCACCTATGAAGGTCAAAGGCGCCTATTCAATCGACGTGAGCGAGCAATACATCGTTTGTGCATGTGCTAATGGGATAGTCAGACTGTTCGAGCCTGTCACACTAAAATATTTGGGCACATTACCAAAGCCACATCCCTTGGGTGTTGATTTGACCATACAAATGGGAACAACATACAATGGGGTTGGTGGACCCAATGACGTATACCCCGACACGTTGGCCTTAAAGTTGGACGCAGAAACTGGAAAACTCACTTGTGTATATAGTGATCGTAGCCTTTTTATATGGGATATAAAGGATGTAAAAAAGATAGGAAAATATAGAAGTTTTCTTTATCACTATGATGTAATCTGGGGGGTAGAGGTAGGAAATGTTAACGTTAAAATGTATTTCTTCAAATCGTAATCCCATTAAGACGAAGTTGCAAATTGTACAATTGTAGATGATGCCGATCCGAGAAGAATCGACCACTGTTACATTCCCGGAAAATACTTTTGTCACCTATTCGGCCGACAATACCATACGCTTTTGGAATTTGGATGGCACAAATTCCGCAGGTGCTCCTGCCGGCAACACCAATGGAACGTCCACCGCCATCAAGAAAAATATATATAGCAAGGAGTGTATCAAAATTGTTTACGTTGATCCGGACGGTTCCTATAGATCGAGAGCCGTGGTTACCAAAAATGATCAACCCGGTAAGTTCTTTTTTTTTTTTTTTTTTGAAAGCGATTTAGGAGAAAAGGTCTGAATTTGATTAAAAATGGATTATTCCAAATATCTATCAGATTCGACCGATCAATCTGCCCAGGCGGAGTCCGGTATTCGTACCCTGAGAATTAGTCCAGATGGAAAGTTAATAGCATCTGGGGATCGAGGAGGAAATTTGAGGTATATAGTTATATAGTTATATGCTTAGCCATATGCGCATGAAATCAGTTTTGTAAACTATCCGACTATATTTTAGGGTACACGATCTCGACACCTTCGATGAGCTCACGTATCAAGAAGCGCACGACGCAGAGATACTGACCATTGAGTTCACAGATGGGCGAATTCCGGGTTAGCTGAACCTCCTCGTGATTCACCGCAAATAAGTCAAACGTAAATATCTGACGGAAAACCACTTTTTAGGTGCACCTTACTTGATTGCCACGGCAAGTCGAGACAGAATATTGCATGTCTTTGACATCAATAATAATTATCAGTTGATTCAGACTCTGGATGATCATTCCTCTTCAATAACGGCCATCAAGTTTACCAATGATGGTGGAAGGTTAATCAGTTGTGGTGCCGACAAAAGTATAATATTCAGAAGCAGACAGAATGTATGCCGAATCCGCGCAAATATTATGAATCTTGATGAGATTATGATTCCCTAATGTCTTAATTTGGTTATTTCTTTTCTTTTTCAATCCGCAGACCAACAACTCTTCATTTTACGTGACATATCATAATATATCGGGAAGAGCGACTGTGTTTGACATGGATATCGATATATCGAATCGATACGTGTCCACAGTATCTGGCGAACGTCGCCTAAATGTTTATCAGATTGAATCCGGTAAAAGTGTGAGGTCGTATAAGTCAGACATGCCAGATGAAGTCAATGCTGCAGAGCAAGGAAGCTTGTTAAGAATTTCCTTGGATCCTGGCGGGGTGTGCGCTGTGACCGCTGGTTCAGACAAAAGCATTCGCCTGTTTGATTTCACTAATGGGACGATACTAAGGAAGGTTCTGGGACATTCGGAACTAATCACCGGCGTGAAGTTCACTCCTGACTGTGAGCGAGTGATTTCAACATCAGCCGATGGTTGTATATATGTTTGGAAATTGTCTGACGAATTGGTTTCAAAAATGCGTCAAAAATGGTTGGAAAGGAGTGGTTTTAATGCGCAAGTCGGATCACCGCCCGTGGTGAAAGATTATCTTTCGCCACAATCATCAACTCCATCAACTATTCATCCAAAGACTGTATTACCTGCTCAAAGACCTCAATCACTTATGTTTGATCTTCAACAGTGTGATGATTCAAGTGGTCAGGAACAAGATTTTTATGTTCGTCGGAGTTCAGGCGGATTGAAAGCGAAAAAGTCCTATTCGTCAATGACAGCGGCGGACACGCAGAATGAGGATAATGCAAAAAAAGTTTCGCCTGCACTGAAAAGGCCCGTTTCATTTACAAACGACGGGACATCACAAGCCAAACCTCCCCAATTACAGATAAGCAGATCCGTTTCAGATTTCTCACAGACTCGAATCCCTACGACGAAATCACCCCCTCCCGTCAGTCCGGTGGGAGCTTCACTTGACACATCCTCGTTAGCTACTCCGCCCAATACACCTACAACAAGCTCGGGAAAGAGAGAATCATGGAAGATCGGTTTGCCTAGCTGGGCGAAAAAAGCTTTCAAGGAAAAAGAAGGTGAAAAAGTTGCTAAGGATAATGAGGTTTTGGCAGAGACGGACATGGGTAAAGATGATTCTAATGTTAACCTAATGCATGAAGACGCGGACAAGAAATCCTCAATTGGGACGAAATCTCTAAATAGGGCAAAGTCGCAAAGTAAGTTGCGACAGGATTCCACAAAGTTATTTTTAGGAGTGGAGCCTGACAGCACGTCATTACCCGATAATGTTTCACTTGGTGAGTCGCCAGTGTCGATGCCATCGGACCGTCCTCCGAATCTTGTTGTTGACGACATCGATGAGGAAGAGGACGAGGAAGCAAATTCACCCGAAGAAGATTCCAATGAAGATGCGGAGACAATATTCGTCGAGTCACAAGGAGAGGAATCTGAGGAATTTCTTGGAGATGGTGAAAATGTGCCAACCGCAAAACGACGACGGAGTAGTTTTGTGGGAAGCATTAAAACGATGGAGTTTGCTGGGGATCGTCCAAAATCACCGTCCGGAAGTGAAAAAGAGGTCGAAGCGGATGTAAATATCGGTGAGAATGAAAATGGAAATGAGGAAGAGGGTGAGACGGAAAGTGCTGATGAGAGTGTGCAGAAGTTAGAAACGTATCTGACGACCCGCGCAGAAGATGAAAATGGATCTGTTACCGGAGAGAATGATGATTACGTGTCTATGGAGCATCGTGGAAGAAAAAGACAGAGTCTGACAACAAAGTTCTACTCCGTCAGTCAAAGAAGATCCCAAGATTCTGGTGGTCGTAATAGCTTATCCGACTCACTGTTAAAACTTGCAGAGGAATCGAGGGAGGTTATTAAAAAGGATTTACGATTTGAAGACGATCACAATGGAGTGGAAAAAGCCTTGAAGGCCTTGGAAGGAAAGAATTCCGTCATGGTGAGTCAGGAGATCGAAGCTAGTAATGGAAACGATCTCAAATTGCTAGAATCATCCGAAGTTTCAACAACACTTTCATCGAACTTGCCAACCAAGAATACCGCCGAAGTTCACGAAGCAACGATTGATGAAAGTAATGTAGAAAGCATTGAAAAAGTTGGGAACGGACTGGGTATCGTGGTTTCCGAAGAATATTACGGCAAAAAAACCGATATTGGAGTCGACGATGATGGTGAGTTGCTAGCTTTATTCCAAGACCTGCGAATATCAAAGATTTATTTATTAAATAATTTAAACACTATTTTTAATAGCTCCCGTGACTCGGAATAGTACCATCAACACTTCTGCTTCTGACGATCAAATAAACGAAGATGCCATTATGAATGACGTGTTGACCATGACTGTGTTATTGGAGAGAACACTTATTGCATATAAGAAGGCAGCCTCCTCAAATAATGAAAGCATGACTAAATTGATATCTGATAGTTTGGTGAACATGATGGATGATATAAAGAAGAGTATCGGCGTCGGTAATGACGATGATTATGGCGAAATAGAGTCAAACAACTCCTACAATACGGCCATAACTACGCACAGTTATACGGCTAATGGAAATGGATCGTCAACCAGCCTTCACAAAGGAGTCCTGTTATCGCCGTTGGCATCACCTCCGCCGACATCTAAATCATTTAATCAATTGTCTGAGGGTGCTACGCAAAATCTTTTGGAAAAATATTCGGATCTTTTGCTAACCATGGTCGAGGAAAAGCTCACCGCAAAAGCAAAATCTTCGAAAACAAGTGCTGATGAGTTGGGAAATGATAACTCCACTAATAATGCGAATACTACCGCGTCATCCTCACCAGTCCTTACATTCACTAACGCCAGCTCCAGTAATACTGCCAGCACAAATGGCAGGCCTGTTAAGTCTAGAAATACGAGCGGAGGGATTAGAAACAAGGCATCAAGGTCTAGGTTTGTTAGATAAATTGCATGTGGGATGGTGAAATTATTTATGAACATTATTTAGAATGTATAGATCAGAATTTGGAATTTTCACTCTAATTATTAGTTTTTTTTTTTTTTTTTTGTTTTTTTTTTTTAATGAACGATTTAAAATTACAATTTACTCTATACTTTGCATCTTCGCTTATTCAATTGAACCTATTTTTAACGTTACAAAATGCATATTTTTAAATCTTTCATTTCGGTATTGTGCAAATATTTGTCGAATAGAATGAATAATATTAGTGTACATATTATAATAAATAAATGTTAATTCTATATATATAGCATATATTAAACCGAGAATAAAATATACTTGGAATAACATAGTCTCAGGAAAGAATAGATACTTTATTGTATATGGATTGTGTTCGGTTCGTTTTATTATAGTCGCGCAAGTGTGAAGTCATGCCCAGGGCGCTAGCTCGGATTTTGGCCGAAATTTAAAACCAAATCATTAAATCCGGTCAGAAATAACCAGATTATAAAAGTCGCATCCTCGCGTAATTTGGTCACGTGTTACGCGTCGCGACCTACAAATGCTAAAGTTTGGGATCCGTTCGGTAGCATGAAGCATGGGAGGATAACCATTTAAGCATAGACAAGCCGACACTGACGAGAAGTTTTCAAAACCAATTAAATCATAAGGTATAAAAAGAGGAAAAGAAATCTGATGCGGGATTGCACATGAGGGCGACAATAATGGAAGATTCAACAAAATATAATGTTTAGTTAATCGATAATACAACTTGGACATTGGTTAGTTTGGTATCATGGAGTCACGCGATTGAATAATTTTGCTATAATAATGTCTGAAAATGACGTATCAATAATATAGAAAACCTTAATATGTAATACTGTAATTAGTATATTGTTGATGCAATTGCTATAATTGTTTGGCTTGAAGTCAATGATTAAAAATTGAAAACAAGAATGATCGATGGTAAAGAAAAATAATTGGATAATAAATAAAAGAAAATTTTTATCAAGTTTTTTATTAATTTTTATCATTTTATTATTTAATATTTTATTGCCTAGTATTTTAACTTAGAAATTTAAATATAGTATTTATATACCATATATTTTTTTTTTCAATTTTTTTTTTTTTTAATTCAAAATCATGCTATCATGGCATATCTTTATTGAGATATTAGAAACATTTACAACATTACATAAACTATTCACATAATAACCAATTCAATTTTTTTTTTTTTTTTTTGAGTACCCATAGCTAAAGATGGGTTCCTAAAGTGGGAGACAAGGACAAAAGTCAAATGTCCTTTACTAAAAAACATTAAAATTTTTAAATTAATAATTATAAAAAAACTACCTACAATTGTTCTTTATTATTCAAATTATTAATTTATAGCATTTCTTGACTTTTGTTCCTATTAAAATGAAGAGCTATAGATTTTGTCCCTTAAAAAGAGACATAAGTAATATGAGAAAATTTATATGCTAAATACTTTAGGGACTCATTATTATCTATAGCTAGGTTAAATTGTCAGTTTATTAATCAAATAAAAACATAAGTACATTTTCATTTAAGCAGTATGATATATACTATAGCTAAACTATTATTCTAATCTAACTAACTTGTCTTAAGCATAAAAGCCTCTAAGTTTAATCTTATGAACAATATTTTGCTCTGCAATATTTTTGAATAAAAACTCTTCTAGTTCACTATATCATTGTCAGCAGATTGTTATTACCATATATCGATCCAAGCAACTGGAATACAGGAAACTACAAAAGGATGGGTTGAAAAAATGGAAAGGGGAATATCTAAAAATATCTAAATAGATAATATGAAAATAAAAAAGTAAAAATTGAAAAAAATATTCACAGTTTCCTTCAAAAACCTGCTTCTCAAGATCTCTTTTCAATAAGAAATATCCAATTGATATATTTTTTTTTTCTAACCATCTAAGGAACTTATCCATTCTTAATTTTAATTTTCTTCTTGTATATTATCTGAGAAAATTTATCACTTGGTAAGAGCCTTTACTTCCAGGATACACTTGATTCTAATCTTCTTTGAACAATAATTTTTTATTTATCTGCAGTAAAAAAACAACTTATGATAGATCACAAGTTCTTATGTAACTTAGTAGGAACTGAAACATGTTGTTTCAATATAATGTCTTTCAGCAGTCATGGTTAATTAAAAAAATTTTACTAATATATATCTTTTATTATTCAAAATGTCAAATTTTCCAATAATCTTTTTACCTTGTAATGGTAGAAGGGTCTTGAAAGTGATGGGGATTCTTGTCAATTGCAATATTCTTTAACAATTTCCAAGAAAATATATTCTCAGCTATAATCAAAGGGTTAATACTTAATATAGACTAGAGATTATTTGATCTTATTGCCTAACCAGGATAAAAAGAAAACCTTGGTCTTGAACTTTGTCTAACTAGGATGATAGAAGAGAAAGACCTCAGCTTGAACAAATAATAACTTTTTCATCACCTGAGAACTTGTTACTTGTATCTTATTGATCTTATAGAACTTGATCTATAGGTTAATTCAATTGAAGGAGTGAAGTGGATATGAGGTACCAATCAACTCTTTCAATTATCAATGATGTTATAGAAATATGTGATGTGATCAGTAAAAACTTGTTTACATTCAGTTACTAACATGTTTCATGTCAACCAATCAGATACCAGGTAACATTGTGCTACTAGAAATTTAGGATTAAACTAAGGTCAACAAAATCTCTCAAAAAAACTATGAAAAACAGTATATAATTTAAGAGGATACAAGACAGTATATAAAAAGGTAAATAATAAGTCTTTTTCTATTAACAAAACCTCTATTTCTTGTCACTTCTAGCTATATAAGTGATACTCTACTTGTTAATCATTTTATTTCCTAGAACCTTCTTTCTTTTAATAGAAGAAATACATACTTGAGTTTTTTCAGGCCACTAGAGGCTTAAGTTTTTATTCAAAGGAGTTTATAAACAAGTAAGGGAGGATAGGAGAGATAAATGAAGACAAGCTTCAAGTTGTTTTAATAAAAGTATAAAGATTTTATTAGCAAGGAAGTATAAAACTTTTTGCGAATATCTTTTTTGTGTATAGTCAGAAAATTAGTGAAAAGAGTTATATTATTGTATTCCCTTTTCTCTTTAATATATATGAATTTCTAGAAATGTAATATAATTTGACTTTAGTATACTTGACTGTTTATATAATTAAATCAGTGATAGTATTGTGTATTTTATATAGTTACAAAAATTGTAAATTGCATTGTTTAATAATTCTATTAATTTCATTATTATCAGGCTTATATTAAGTGAAAATAGTTCCGATAGTTTCTGTATTGATATAAATTATCTATTATTTCTCAAAATTGATATGTTCTTATAGAAGTAATTTTTTTTTTTAATGTTAGCTCATTCTTGCATCAGAGTGAACATGTTTTATTAAAGCAAGAAGATACCTAGAGACAATCGGGATAAATAATTACTTATACTGTCTAAGGATTTACAAATAAATAAATAGTATGGAGAGCAAACTATTTATATCTTACATAACCGGGATAAGATAATTACATAACTGTCTAGTGTAAGTATACTACTTACTAAAACAAAACTAGAAATAATATCAAGTAAAAGAAATTTTTCACTATATTATCTATAAGATCATACTGGTACTCTTTAAAAACATAACAAAAAATGACCCATCGAGTGGCTTATTGCTATCTCAAATTCTATAAAAAGGAAAGGCTAATGTGTCAAGGATTTATTTGTGATATCCATCACCTCTGATGTTGAGGATCTCTCATGTAAAGCTTTAACTTTACTAGTGCTAATCAAAAAAATTTTTATATCATATTACTGTTAAGAGAGTATTTGGAGAGTTCTGATAATTGCTTAATGAATCAGGGGTTATCTTTTCAATGATCAATACTAGATAACCAAAAACTATTCTAAAGAATTCTGCATCTTATGATATTTTTTCTCTGATTATGTATACTAAAAAAAGAAAGGAGAAATAGAGGAGAGTTATTGTTTACTATCATATAAATCCTAATCCAAGTTTCTTTATTCTTTCTGTGTAGTCAATGACATCATAGATTTTATATTTTATATCCATCTATACAATTGTCTTGCAACTTATAGTGGATCCTAGGTTCTTATAGGAACTGAAGAAATACATTCAGATACATGATATGACCAATAGGAGCTTGTTTGCATATTGGATCGCTGATATGTTTATATTATCCAATCACTGCACCAAAAACTTTGTACTACTCAAAATTCAGGATCAAGCTGAAGTAAGGCAAAATTTCTTAGATAAAACCATAAAAGAGTACTATTAGAGCCTCCATAATGACAAGAAAGTAATGGAGTTGTTTTTTAAAGAGTCTCTCATTACAAACTAGGTGTTGTAATATTTCTATGGTAGGTAAAAGGAAGATAGAGAAGTTTGGTCTACTTCCTTTCAAAACTTTCTTGCTATTAGTAAGAAAGATAGAGTTATCTTTTTGGTTACTAGAAGACAAGTTTTTTGTAGCAAGATATAAAAAGAAATAGAGAAGTTATAAGATGACTCTTAAGAAGCTTGTTCTCAAGTTGGTTTAAAAAAAGTGGTAAAATTTTATTAGTCTTGAAGTATAAAACTTCTTGCAAATATTTTTTTTGTATGTAGTTAGAGAATTTGTGAAAAGAGTATTTTTGTCTTATAAGAAGTAATATGTGCCTTAATTCTTTATTGTAATTATAAATGATTATAAATATAAATATTTGTTATATATTTATATTTATTGAAAACAGATTTAATTTTTTAATATGAATAGTTTCAGTCAATATCTATTAATATAATTACTAGTGAGGTTTTCTTTTTTTCTTTTATTTGCTAAAATATTTTTTTATTTGATGATTGAATAGAGTTTGTCCATTTCTCTATTTCTATAGATATTATAATAAAGTTTTTATTCTTTTTTTATTAATTTTTTTAAAATCTTGTA